GGGAGTCAGTGCAGAGGGGCCCAATGAGCGACACTAACTGAACCTGCCCTGGAAACCCACAAAATCCTATTTGCTTTGAATAGAAACTGGACTGGAGAGAGCACCCCAGGGGCTAGGTCTAAAGGTCCCTGACTCTTGACTGAATTGCCTCCAGGGCCCAAACACTTAACATTATTGCTCACTTAGAATTGTAACTTTTTAAGCCTAGGCTCTGTGCCTACAATATTTGCAAGCTTACCCTTTCCTTCCAGCCCAAGTAAAATACCCTTTCCATTAGCCGTGTGGCTGAGTGGTTTTTGGGACCCACCAGGGCTAGTGCGTACAAGGCCTTGCTCCTGAAACCCCTACAGTGCTTGCCTCTGAGTTGTGGTACACCTGGCATGCTACTGGCACTCTAGAGATTTGGTGTATTTGGGCACAAAGCAGCAGCAATAATTTAACAGTGATAGCCCACCAAATAAAGACATGTTAAACTAAAGAAAAGTTTAAAATAAGAAAAGCTAGCTAGCAGGAAATATCTGAAACAGCAAAATTGATACAATCTGCTCTGTGTGAAAAAATTACACGTCTTACATTATTTTGAATTGTCACTACACACACACTCATAAGAACATAAGAGCGGCCATACTGGACCAGACCAATAGTCCATCTAGTCCAGTATCCTGTCTTCCAATGCCAGGTGCCCCAGAGGGAATGAACAGAACAGGTAATCATCAAGTGATCCATCCCCTGTCGCCCACTCCCAGCTCCTGGCAAACAGAAGCTTGGGCCACTTCAGAGCATGAATTTACATCCCTTCCCTTCCTGGCTAATAGCCATTGAGGGACCTATTTTCTATGAACTTAGCTAGTTCTTTTTTGAACCCTGTTATAGTCTTGGCCTTCACAACATCCTCTGCCAAGGAGTTCCACAGGTTGACTGTGCGTTGTGTGAAGAAATACTTCCTTTTGTTTGTTTTAAACCTTCTGCCTATTTCATGACCCCTAGTTCTTGTGTTATGAGAAGGAGTAAATAACACTTATTCACTTTCTCCACACCCATCATGATTTTATAGACCTCGATCATATCACCCCTTAGTCGACTCTTTTCCAAGCTGAAAAGTCCCAGTTTTATTAATCTCTCCTCATATGGAACCTATTCCATACCCCTATTAATTTTTGTTGCCTTTTTCTGTACCTTTTCACCAAACCAATGCCTGTGGTCCATTGAGTAAAAAACAATACAAGAAAAATGACAGTCTTACTAAGGGCCGAATCCTGCAAACATTTATACATATAAATAGCCCTATCGAATGGGACTACTCACATGAGTTACTCATGTACATAAGTATTTGCACAATTGGGGCCTTGTATTCTAAACTCCATAGTAGGGAGTTTTGCTTATTTACCTTTTAGTGCTATGAACATCCTTGGCACTGTAGCAATAATAATAAATAATATGATGATTTGTCAGTTCCTATTGAATAATTCTGTTTAACAAGTTATATCAACATCATTGATTGTTGCTCAATTGCCTGAGTAAGGACTGCAAGGTTGGGCCTCTGTTAAATACATTTGGGGTAGACCAGAGGATTATTCCTCTAGCCTTTTACCTTGAGAAACCAAAAGCCAAACCATTACTTACAGTGAGAATTCAATGGGTCTATTTAAGGAGTAAGATACTAGTCTATGTAAGGATGGCAGGATCTGGCCCATGGTCTAGAGCGACTTTTTTAGTCTCCTCCCGGTCCCCATTTGTGCACTTTACAAAAGCACCGCACAATCTGCAGTCTTTGCTTAAGAGATGCCAGTACTGGAATAATGAATGTATTGTAGGGCAGAGTTGAGATGCTTGGGCATGGCAGTGTAGGGCGGCTTGCAAGAATGCTTTCTCAGACATGCCTAGGCCGAAACAGTGGTAATTTGGTCCCTACCATTCTCAGGCACCAAAATCATTCAAACAAACAAACAAACAAACAAACAAACCTAAACCCACAACCTTGACATAATACCAAGTATTATGATTCAAAAATCATATTCTGCATAGACTGACAGTCACAAACAATTATAACTGCACATCATCTCATTGAATTAAATAATTCAGTGTAGCGCTATATTTTGTACAAACAATATTTTAGGAAGCTTGTTCTAATGTATTTGCTTGCATATAGGAGCAGTAAAGTGAGTTACAAGTGATTACAATGAAATACAATTATTGGACCTTGTAATATTTTCATGCTAGTGATTCTCATTTTCTCCCTTTATTTTGACTTGCTTTGTTAACTGGCTAAGCTGTTTTTAGGGCAAACACTTTTTATGGATTATCATCTCCCATAATCTTAGCCAATTTTATTTTAGGTGTCACTTCAGTAACAGAAACAAGAAAAAAGAACGAGGAGTACTTGTGGTACCTTAGAGACCAACAAATGTATTTGAGCATAAGCTTTCATGGGCTAAAACTCACTTCATCGGATGCATGCAGTGGAAAATACAGTAGGAAGATATATATACACAGGGGACATGAAAAAATGGGTGTTGCCGTATTAACTATAACGAGGGTAATCAGTTAAGGTGGGCTATTATCAGCAGGAGAAAAAAAACCTTTGTAGTGATAATCAGGATGGCCCATTTCCAACAGTTAACAAGAAGGTGTGAGTAACAGTAGGGGAAAAAATTAGCATGGGGAAATAGGTTTTACTTTGTGTAATGACCCAGCCACTCCCAGTCTTTATTCAAGCCTAATTTAATAGTGTCAAGTTTGCAAATTAATTCCAATTCTGCAGTTTCTCGTTGGAGTCTGTTTTTGAAGTTTTTTTGTTGGAGTATTGCGACTTTGAGGTCTGTAATCGAGTGACACAAGTACTCCTCGTTCTTTTTGCTGATACAGACTAACACGGCTACCACTCTGAAACCAGAAACAAGAAAGAAAATGCAATGTTTACTTACAGCATTGGTTAGTTCTAATAAAATTAATTTTCACTTTCAGAATTGTCATTTGGATGAAGCTCAATTAGCAATATGCCATGGCTGATCTATTTACAGTTTCCTTGAGAATTTAAATGGAATTGAAAGCCAATGAGACATGTGCTCCTAAGTCACTTAAGCACTTAAGAATCACCCCTGTATCATTGCTCTATTATTTATGCAGAAAATATTATTTCTGATAAATATGAACTTCTGCATGTGACTTGTATCAGAATTCAAATCTTTAAAGGCTAGATTGCATCTGAAGGGGCAGCTCTGAGCAAGGGGTGGTGTGTGAGTTGCAGCATCCCTGGTGTAGACATGGGAGTCATTGTGCTTTTAGAGACAACTCTCAGGCACAATTTTTTGCTCCTGTTTGCTCCAGGGAGAGATTGGTAGGAATTGTCACTGGTTTGTAGCAAATTATGTCCCCCACTCCTTACGCGGGTTCAGCTGTGCAGCTCAGCAGAAGTCATGGCTGTTCCCTTCCCCATCCGTCTTCTCTGACTGAGAATGTGCCTTTTTACTCCTGTATGCCTGGCCTCAATGTCCATGTTAGCCCAGGCAGGAGTTAAGGGTTGGTTTTTTTGTTGTCTTCTGTGTAGGTGTGCAGTACAAGTCACAATCTAGCCCAAAGTCACCACAGTTGAGTCTTCATTAGACAGATATCTATGGTTCCCTCGAGGTATTCATCACTAATATATAAATATACACCTCATTTGACAACCAACCACAGCAGTGGCCTGATATTTAGCAGTCACACCCAGAGATCTCACAATCACTTAGAAGTGCCTCTAACCCCATCTATGGGATAATGAAGATGTCTTAAAAAAAGGCTGCAGATTTCCTGGTCTAACATAATGTGCTATCAGGAGAATAACAACAGTACATTTTGTTCGAGTGTTGCTCACTTCACTCTTTTTGATTTATGTGTTTCTTCTTTTACTTGTAATGTGTTTCATTGGATCTGTGTGCAGAAATCAATATAGAAATTTAGCTGCTCTCACTCTGTCTTTCAGTGAGCTGCAGAGGAGCAATCTCAATGGAAATTGTATTGATCTCCAAAAACAGTAAAATACAGTAAAACAGCTAGAATTACTGGCTCATTCACTAATTCATTTGCTCTGAGTATCACATGCAGATTTGTTGGTAAGTAGACTAATGCAAAAGGTATATGGCTAAAAATTTTCATAAACATGCATTTGTTTCCCCAAAAGAGGACCTTTCGTAAAAGAATTGCCAACATTTACTTTAATGCAAGTGTATCAATAATCTCTAAAAAATGCTTTTGCTATCACACCCATTTTATATTTTATTTATGCAGAAAAACATATTTTAACAGCTTGGAGATGCTTTTCACCACCTGAATATCACTATATCCATAGTCAGGAGTGGACCAAAAACCTGCAAGGCTTATTAAAGATAACCATCCCATTAGTGTCAATGATATTGCTGTCTGAGTAAAAAGAACTTGATTTGGTCATTAGTGAGAATGGGGAATAGTTTAATCTGGCTGGAAATATCACAATCGTGGTACAATTAATTAAAACATCAGGGATGTACTAGACACATTGAGGAAATACTGAAATTATACCAGATCTAAGAACATATATATTGCCATATACAGTCAGTAGTGAATAGCGGGACACCTGAACCATAAAAATACACATATATCTAACTATATATATATAGGGGCCACCAGCTAAATGTGCTGGAGCTCCTTTGTGAAGTTTTTGATTTAAAGAATCTGCAGGATCAGCCAAGTGCTTTAAGAGACCAATGCACCACTCCCAGTTTGAAGGCAGAGGAGGTGAGAGTCGGAGGTGAGCTCAGCTGAGTGTTACAAGCGGTGAGCGAAGGGCAGGACTGGGGTGCTGCCTTGGGCTTGTCACCAGCAGAACGGACTACATGGGACTGAGCGGACACGTGCCCCCCAGGTCCCCTGGGGGGGCGGAGCCAGGGGAAGGGAGGGGCGGGTCCGCAGGAGTCTGACTCCTCCCCCTGCACAAAGTAGAGGCGCTGCGGGCTGGCGGTTGCGATGCTTGGCAAAGCCCCCAGGTCGCACGGAGCGATCGTTCCCGCACCCCGGGCGCAGCAGAGCTCGCCCCAGTAGCAGCCCTGCCTGCGGGGCCAGGATTACCGCACGCCCGCCGCTTGGCGGAGAAGGCACCCGCTTGCAGCCCGGGCAGCAGCCGGAGCCCGTGTCCGGGCGTGGGGACCCCCGGTCCCAGAGCTGCGATGGAGCGCAGGGTGGTGCTGGCGCTGCTGCTGTGGCTGGGGACCCGGCCGGCTCCAGGTAAGGGGCGCTGGGCTGGAGCAGGCGGTGCGCGGGGAGCTCGCGTAGCGGCTCGGGGCACCTCCCCCTGGGGCGAGGGGCCAGTGGAGCGCAGATGTTGGGACACGAGGCCGAGCAGCCGCGACTGGAAATACCTGAGCCTCGGGGCAGCTACTCTGATGGGGGCAGGGCAAGGGCCATCCCCGGAGCCCCCCGGGATACGATGGGAGGTTTGTTCCTGCCCCCAAAGCGAGCAGGCTCGGAGGAGCCATACTCCGGACATAGGGGCGGGGGCAGGGGAGAATAAACCCACGGCGAAATCCTGCCCCTATTGAAGTCAATGGGAGTTTTGCTCTTGACTTCAGTAAGGCAAGGATTTCACCCTGTGTCCATGGATTGTGTTTGCTGGTGACCTGGGGACGATCCTCAGCTGGGGTGAATTGTGATAGGGAAGTCAAGGAAGCTATCACCATTTACAGCTCCAGTTGAGGAGCTGCCCCAGAGCTATTTTTGTTGTTAAAGGTGTTAGCCTTGGCCATGCCCTCCTCCTTCCCCTGAGGTCTCCAGAGGAAAGCTGTTCCTTATCACAGTTCAGGTGCTGCAAAGGGCAGGACATCCTGACTGGTCACTCCGCGCACGAGAGAGTAGGCAGGTGCACAGGCTATGGCTTTACAAGGAGAATTTGGAGAGACCACGAAGTCTGATTAGCATGTCGGGCGTTGGAGCCGTAATTTCACCCCTGAATCTTTTCTAGAAAACACAGGAAGCGAGGGACAGTTCTGCCAAACTTTCCCATGCCCAAAGCAAATCTTAATGAAAGGAAAGAAACAAGAGAGAAAAAAAGGAGTTTCCTTCTATCTGCGGAGAGTTAACAATATGCTGTGCAAGACACAACGCAACCAACCCCTGCCTTTACAACCTCAACAAGACTAATTCCAGTTGCTGGAAACATCCCCTGTTCATTATACCACTGGATGGGGAATAAGTGGTTCAAAATCGTTTAAATTCAGCATGATAGATTAGTTCTATTCTCTGTCCTATCAGTGGAGGTTTCAGAAACTGAGAATAAGCCAAGTGAAAACAATCATACTGAGGTTAATATCTTAGCAGAAATTGCATCTTAAATATATAGAGATGACTTTTTACTTTAATTAAAATAATGCCTGTGTTTGGAGCAAAAATAAACATTTTGACTATTATAATATGGATATTAATTTAATGTCAGACACTTGGATGTTTATCCAATAAATAATGCTATTTTATTGACCCTAGTGTTAGTACATCATGGGTTTTTAAATTGCATACGTAAGTTATCAATGCATTTTCTTTTGGAATAGTCTCCTTAGAGAGATGCATACGAGCAATTGTATTTAATAGCATAATGTTACACCTTGAAGAAAATAATCTAGACAGAGGTTGGTCACAGTTTGATTGAGACTGAACACATCCTTGACTAAATAGAGCTTATCTTTAGCTTGGTTTTTAGGTCTAACTAAGCAACACTTAATGAGGGGAAAAAATCTCAATTTTAGTACAGACCATATTCTGCTCTTATTTATCTGTACACTAGTCTCGTTGAAGGCATGGGAGCTATAGGCATGCAGATGGGAGCAGGATTTGGTCCAGGAAGATTTAATCCTGTTTACTTGATAGTTAGATTAGATAAATCATGATTTGCAATGCCTATGATAGGGAGTAAGATGCATATCTTGATTTTGATTTGATTTTCCATCCTAATTAAAGTTTTTACATTAGTGGTGGCTTTCTAGAGTAAAGTGCAACAGAAATCAATTATCTGAAACCTACTGTCAATAAAGAATCTCCTTAGGAAGGGTTTGATAAAAATATAATGAAATCCTGAAAAAATATTGAAGCCCCTAGCTCTAGGATGACTTTACTGTCATTGATACCAACTCTATTACCATTCATCAGATCTGTCTCTCAATATAACTGACTTGGGTCCTTCCCATACCTGGCATCTTGCTGCTTTATAATCATGGACTTGAATGGTATCAGAAGCATTGAAATGAGAAAAGAAGGCTGTAGAAGAAATTCCTGTTCATAATGAAGAAATAATTCTTGCATTTTAAAACATGTTCCTCTTGATAGATGGGCTTGTCTGCTAGGTATAGAAACATTTGTTTAATTTTAGTACAGAGAGATTGCACTATTCATAGCTGTTGTGATGGCTGGCAAACGTAACAGGCCTAATTCTTTACTACATCAATGTAACTTCACTAAAGATATTGCACTTACACTGGCATAAAACTGGTGTAACACAATGAAGAATCAGACTCAGTATCACATCCTCAGACTTTACAATTACTGTATTAGCTACATTTAGATATGAAGACTAGTCTGTTTCTTCCAGACAGTTAAAAGATTAATGAGATGTGTCCCGGTATGCTAGTACCATCGCTGTTCATTTTCTTGTGTAAGTTCACCCACTGACTCCTTGTACATCCGTATTTGCATCAATTCTTCTGTTGTACAAGTGCTCCGCGTTGTCTGGCCAAGGTAATGTTTCAGAACTTACTCAGATCTCTGTACTCATCCTTTACTGACACAGAACTCCCAAAGGGAGTGAGTATAGTAATAAATGCCGAAAACATCTCTTTGTGTTCTTTGAAAGATTGCGCAGACTGCCTTACTGAACAGTTACGTCAGAACAAATATTGGAAATGATCTTGCAAGCTTTAACTGATACGAGTATTCTCACTGAATGCAATGGAACCAATCACCCAAGTAAAGTTTGATAGGAACAGGTTTTCTTAGGGTTTCAGGCAACGAAGGAAACACATTAGAAAACATGATAAAGGAAAAAAAGACTGGGTCAGATGACCCTGAGTTTATGATGCACTATGTAAAATAACTCTTAGCAGAATTCGTTAATCAGCAGCCTTGGCAAATTTATTATTCAATTTATTATAAGACCTTTCCCAAGGGAGTGAGATCATCAGATGAAGGTTCACTTTATTTCAATGTCCCATATCCTCTTGTTAGACCTTGAAGTTGGTAATGCAAAACAACAGGAACTCCACCCGAGCTTTATGAATTGCAGAGCTATTCTGCTAGCTCATGACCATCTGCCCATTCTTCCTGTTATGACAGAGCTCTTGAACTTCTACTGGGATGTGTGGAAAGCAGTAGAACAGTTTAACACATTAAGCAAATAGGTCAACTTAAAACATGCTACATATACATTCATACAGTGCTTTTCTAATTGAATCTGATATGTTTTTGGCCCATTAATTTGTTGATTTTATTTTTGCAGGCTTGTTCATTTCTCCGGATCAACCAAGTCTTAGCATCCAAAAAGATATCCTTACAATAACTGCAAATGATACTCTAAATATTACTTGCAGGTAAGGGCAACTTTGGCCTGTGTTATGATGATGAGAATGATTTATTAATTTAATTTTGATATAGAGGTGGACCCTTCCTTCTACTCCCTCTTTCCTTGTCCCCCCCATCTCCTTCTCCACTGCAGGCCTTGGGCTGAGTATTAGAGGGTTACATCATGAGGGGATTAAAAAACAAAATGAAAGCTATTGGCTAATCAGGGGATGTTCTCAAGAGTTTAGTGTGTCAGGTGTGTTAAGGTAGTCCCTGGGTAGCCCTAGCCACTCCCCTGTGTGGGAAAGATGGGGTGCAAGCAGCAGGGATTGGGGAGAGTACTCTGGAACATAGTGGAGTTTGCTAGGGATTAAGCAGAGCCCTTGTCACCTCGTTTACCCCCTTTGTTGAGTCCTTGTATGGCTTAGATTCATCATCTCTTAATATTCAAATGAAGAAACTTTCTTGTAGCTGTGTGGAATTGAGCATCTCACACTCATTTATCGGATTTAGCATGTTTCTTAATGTTAAATAATTAAGTTTGTCTAATAGCTATTTGTCCTGAAGTTAAAATGGACCATTCAAGAATGAGTAGGACTGAGTTTTCCTGGCATGATGATAGCAAGCCCCATTTGCCCTAATACAGCTCCCTCCTTTGTTTTGCTAGTGGTCAAAGAGCTTTGGAGTGGCTGTTGCCTAACAATCAGAGCAGTTCTGAGAAACATGTTGCAGTGACTGACTGCAGGGACGGCCCCTATTGTAAGATGCTCACTCTTACAAAAGTAATAGGGAATGACACTGGGGACTACAAGTGCTTTTACAGAGACACCCAGGCAACTACAAGCATTTATGTCTATGTTCAAGGTAGGTGGTTACAAGATTCTTACGTGATTCCTACCTATCAATAAGATTAAAAAGAAACAATGGTGTAACAGGCATTTCAAAAAGCTTTGTTCTGAAGTAATGTTCATTGGATTACCCACAGAAAAACCTATTTGGCAAAGCATATGCCTCAAGATCAACAGTTGTAAGCTGGAGACTGTCAGCTTAAGAAGAAAGCAGTTACCAGTCCACTTGTCCTCCAGGTTTTAAGGAAAACAAGAATATAAATATACATCTATTCTATAGGTGCCAGATCCTGCAGTTTCTCCTTTCATTGAACTCCAACTGAAGTTTATGGCCATTCTATGTAGTAAATAACTGCAGAAACTGTCCCTTAAAGTGCCGATAAGTGGTTAAAGTAGATTGAAACAGGAGAGGGAACTCTCATCATAACAGTCAAGGAAGTGGGGGAGATCAGGCTTCTTTCATGAGACTTCTAGCATTTCCCATTTGATCAAGCTACAAAGTTTACATAGCAGAATGGCATCGCATGGTTTTTCAATACGTCCATTTCCAGCCAAAATGTGGAAACACAATGTGTGCGCAAAAATATATACAAAAAGCCAGCCAAATGTATTTGACTCTCAAAAAACAACTTTTTCTCAGTTTGTATTTTACATTATCCTTATTAGTTCTATGCAGATCGTATCACAGAGATACATTTGCCTACGCCATATACATTCGTGTGGGTAGAATAATAAACGGAACAATGCAACAGCAGAAACTTAGCATATATTTTAGCTGTGATGGTAGGAACATTTTTCTATAGTAAACTGTGAGATCTTTGATCACAGCTTTTCTTCTCGGTGGCAGCTTTTGGAGATATTTTTCATGGATGGTACAAATGACCACCTTAAGTTGTAAGTGAGGCATTTGCATCACATAAAAGATTACTTCATGCTGAGCTTGGCCTCCTGTCTTTCAGCTTCCAAATGTTTATGTGCCTGCAGCCCTTCCTCCTGTCCTGCTGACCAGGCTGACTTTACAATTAAAATTGGGACCAATTTCCTGATATTGGAATTCTTGGCCTTGTGAAATTGACATTCTGTATGCAAATTTTTGTGTGGAATAACTACATGTCAATATGCTAGTTACCATAAATAGAAAAGTCCTTGTTCCCATAATTAATAAAATCTATATGTGCAGCAATTAGCCTAATTTACTTCTCCAGACCCTAGCCCACACATCAATACTGGGATCTGATCTGTTTGCATGCAGAACTACTGTAGACTTCAGTAGGAGTTTCACACATGCAAGGATTATAGGGTATTTGTATATAGCACTCACATTTGTATTATCTAACAGGACAATGTTCAGATCAAGTCTGAAATTTGGTCTACCTTACAGCTGTTGAACTCTGATGAGGAAATCCAGATAGATTTCAAGAACTAAGTTTTCAAAACTCATGCTTTCAGTTGCACCCATATAAAATGCATGTGGAAGCAACTGCAAAGCCTTCAGTTATGCATGCAATTTAGATAGCTGCACACACAGAACGGCATTAGACTAAGCCCCTGACTATTTTCACTGTTGATTATCTAGCATCAATTATCTGTGCACGCCTGCATGCACAGGTTTGTTACTACAATTTATGGTCAGAATTTTGAAAAGTTGGTCGATAATATATAGGTTTGTTTATAAAGCCACTTATTTATTGTTGAGAATTTAAAAAAGAATAGCCATTATTTTAGGGGTTATGAAGCACTTAGCTACTTATAACTAATATTGGGATCCATTCCTATAGTTCTTACACCGGCAGAAGTCACATTGACTTAAATTGGAGTTTTGACTGAGTAAAGACTTCAGGGTCAGGCACCCAGAATTATGTTGACACCATTAATGTGTATTTGGGCATGATGGTACTGTAAAAAGAGGAGGAGTTAAACTTAATAGTGATGTCAATTTCATCTCCATTCACATACAAGAAAATACAAATGTTTGCCAAATAGAAAAGGACTACATAGACAGGAAAGGAAAGAAAAATAAGAGGGAAAAAATAGCATGTTGTGTCCTTTCAAACGAAGAGATTATAACAAATGCAAATCAAATATTCTTTTAGATTACAGATCTCCATTTGTGACTTCAGTTAGTGACCAACTTCATGTTATATACATTACTGGGAACAAAACAGTGCTGATTCCATGTCTTGGATCCATATCAAATCTCAATGTATCACTTTATGCGGTAAGAAAAAAGTCAAATATTTCAGTACTTATCTCTAGAATTAGCTAAATGTCAATTTACATAAATACGGTGGATTAAAATAGATATCTTAAAAAGAGCTTCTCATCTTTGGACATTACGAAACTTACGAACAGAATGGGAATGCTATAACTATACTAACAAATGATACTTCTTGTGTAAAGATCTGTTGACTGCAATGAGAATGTGGCCTGAGTCAGGATGCCAAGTCTGGATCCATAATGTTGTAGTAAATATTAGACTTACAATATGAATTTATTTAGTTTTGGAATTATACTGAATGTTTTATTGATCTTTTAACAGAGGTATCCAGAAAAGTTATTTGTTCCTGATGGTAAATCAATCTCATGGGATAATAAAAAAGGCTTCACTATTCCCAGTAACCTGATCAGCTATGCGGGCATGGTCTTCTGCGAAGCTAAAATAGATGATGAAAGTTACCAGTCTGTGATGTACATAGTTGTGGTTGTAGGTAAGTCAAAGATTACTCTCCAGGGTCATTGTTTTAGGCAGTGCTATTTTGCTTGATGCAACATATTGAGCAGTTACATTTGATTGGACTGTAGATCAGGAATACTGAAAATACAATTAACATAAAATGCATGTTTTAATATGTATTGCTTTAGGAAAAAAAAACAACACCTGAATTTAAAGGGAAAATATTATTGTATTCTGTTTCGGGTGGATTGCCGGCATCTGTGCTTGGGATTTTACCTGCTCTTCCTTGATGCTGCTTTTTTCAATCATGCAGGGTTTTATTTTTCCTAAACTTCCGCTCTTTTGTAATGAATGTCAGCATAGAGTGAAGGACCTTGAGAACAGGCACCCCAAAGTATCACTAGCAGCTCAGGAAAGAAGACAGGGTTCTAGCTTGCTGTGAGGAGAAACAGGGGAGCATGTCACACTAGAAATGCAAAACCTGGCCTGACCCCAAGAAATTCTTGTTTCCCTGCATGCTAATGTCCTGGGCCTAACTGGATGAATATGGCTCTGACACATTGAAGTTACCTGCTCCTCCAGGGCAACATGAGGACTCCTCTTAGGCCCCCACCCATGCTGAAACTGCAATGACCTCCTCCTGGACTGTTGAGCACACTCCCACCTCCAGGGTTGGAAGAGGCCAATCCCCCACCTCCCAAGCCTCATTGTGACACTGAGGCTTGGTGAGGTAGGATCAGCACATTCTCCTCTAGACTCGGAGATTCCTAAAGAGAGGAAGAGAAAAATAGGGAGTATCTCACCACCCCATCTCCCTTTAGGGGCAGCAGTTTCCCCACAATTCATCATCCTCTGCCTGGTTTTGAGTCATTTGGGATTTTTGGATATGTTTGGTCATATTTCACATTTTTTATTACAGGTTTTATGCCTTGGACAGTTTTGCTAATGCCAAATTGTTGGTGGTGGTAAAGTTCCAAGCACATCACCTGATGCCCACTTTTGGTCTATCATAATATTTGGGGAGTGGGGTTTGTTTCCATGCTATTGTGAATTTTGTGGTTCACCATTGAGATTCTCCTCTGAGTGCTCTCTAACATTGCAAGGGGCCAAGAAACCCTTCCATAAGAGTTGAGGATGCTTAGCAGCTCCCAGGATCTGTTCCAAACATCTCTCTCTGACTCCAGCTTAGAAGAACTGATGTCTCACCATGTCAGCTTCTTTTATCTTACTGTGTCTGACCAGGAGGGAGCTTCTGGCAAATGGCCTCACAGTAGCCCACTCACTCTGCATGTGCTAAAATCTGAAAGTAGACTGTACTTGCCCGAGACCCATTGTGTGTCAGTACAGCTTTTGGACACCCTTACCCTTTTCATCTCCACTTTTTGAAATTGGGTGTATGCCCATCTCCCCACTGCACTCAAGCTTCTGGGATTTCTGCTGTGTGGGTGTAACTCCTAAGGGAGAGAGTAAATGCCATTGGGAAAGCGGCATCCTTACATCATTTAGCAGAATGTTTTTTCAAACTCTGTTCCTTTTGCTTCTTCCAGGATACAGAATTTATGACTTAACTATGAACCCTCATCACCAAATAGAGCTGGCAGCAGGGGAGAAACTAGTTCTAAATTGTACTGTGAGGACGGAGCCAAATGTTGGAATTGATTTCAAATGGGATTACCCTTCCGTTAAGGTAAAACAATCATTTCCTAATACCATGCCCTAGAGCCCTGAAAGAAGCAACCTCTTGCTAGAAATACAAAAGGATGCTCCTGTGTTTTAGCTTCCATGGTTATTTTAGCTTCCACAGATACAATAAAAATTTGGGTTAACCACTTACCCGCTCCTCTGTAAATATTAACAAACCAGTTGATATATGAAGAGAAGGAATCACCAGCCTATATAATATATAGCCTGGATTACGGTTTTGTGAGGACCTGGGGCTGAGCAAGTGGGGGACCCTCCCCACCCCTTCCACCTGCAGTTCCTCCCTCACCCCCCCACCACTCCCGCCGGGGAGCAGGGTTGGGGCATGAGGGCTTGCCCCGCTCTGCCTGCCCAGCGCTACTGCCGGGGAGTGGGGTTGGAGTGTGAGGGCTTCTCTGCTCCCCGGAAGGAGTTCCGGGTGGAGTGGGTCAGGGTGTAGGGGTGTCCATTTTCCTGGGGGCCCCCAATTGTCCGGGGCCCCTGGGCACGGTCCCCATTGGCCCAGTGGCTAATCCGCCACCGGTGTGGAGGATCGGGGGAAGAGTTGGAATGAACTGCTTCTCAGAGCTTTTACTCTGTTACAGGGAAAACGTGCTACAGTCAGAGACTTAAAAACATCATCAGGGAATGAGCCGAAGAAGTTCGTAAGCACTCTTACCATAGACCATGTGACCTTAAATGATAGAGGCCGATACAACTGCACAGCATTCAGTGGCCTTATGACAAAGAAAAACAGCACATATGTCATTGTCCATGGTATGGAATTCTCTGATTTAATTCTGGATATTTATAGGTGGGGATTGTTGGGATGGAAAATGTATAAGTTGAAAGCAGTTAGCTGCACAGTATGTCAATCAAAACGTTTGTCGTATAAGCCGTCTGTTCTGAACTGTCAGCCACAGTGTTTCCAGTGCTTCTAGTTGTTTTTAGTAGCATTGTATAGCTCAAGGTTTTTCTATTTTAATGTTAAAGGGTTTTCTCTTAGGACCTTGTATGTGATTATCACTGAAAGCTGTTACGTAGTCTAGAAAAAGTGACACTAAAACTCAGAATGGCTGGCGGTCCCTCTATTTAATCTCTCCCTATGTGGTACTGTAAAGTTGAAACTGTATATTTCGGGTCAGATTCTGCCACTCTTCCTCCTACTGAATAGTACCTGACTCCCCAGGTAGTTCCACTGATTCCATTGTGGCTACCTGCAGAGAAAGGTGTTACTTGCGTGAATAAGAGTGGCAGAATCCAGCCCGCGGCTTTTTGCATTCTGAAAATTGGATTCAGCTTTACTTTTGGTCATAAGGAAATGACTCAGAGGAAATGACTCTGGCCAAATCCTATCCTTCCTCAGTCCTCAATCAGGCAAAACTCCATTGGCTACAAAAAGCTGATTTTTTTGAATGAGTGAGAAAGAATTGCAGGATTTGATCCAATATTAACTAGTGCAGCAGCACTGCTAGTTATGGATGTACTGTATGTCTTACACAGGAGCACTAAGGCTGACTTGAAGTTGTGACTAAGTCTGATTTTCAGCATCAGCATTTTGATTTTTTCAGTTCACACTGACCATAGTCCATTCTTCTGCCAGGACCAGAAACAGTTCCCCCTTCTCTGTCACAGCTGTATCAGATATTAAACGGATACTCTATTTGATCTTCGCCAAAAGGCCAATTATGCTGTTGGGCTGATTACAATTTTGCTTTCTGTGGTTGCAGAAAAGTAGTGTAAATCCTTTCAGAGTTGTGGGATTTTTTGGGTTGCAGAACTTCAGATAGATAGCTTCAATCTCTGCTCAATTATGTAATTGTATCACGTGAAGTTTTGAGTACTGTTATGTGCTGAAATGGAAAAATTGAGCCCTTTTTGTCTGACTGTGTAAGTGGAAACCTTGGAGAGGTTTAAATGCGATATTGTGTTACCAACACATACTTTACAGCACTTGGTTTGCATTGCTTGTTTTGTTACACGGCAACAGCGGCTAGGGAGGACAGAGGATTGGGACTGAGAGTTGCTGTGTGGAGCTGAGAGCAGACTCTTGCCTCTATGGCTGTCGAGAGTCCTCTGGTAGCTGAATTAGTCCACTTTTCTGTGCAAGGGGTGAAGGAGAAGGCATGGCTGGGGGAGAGGGGCTGCATACCCCTGTGTGGCACAGAGCATCCCTAGGGATGTGACATGGGCCAGAGGCAGGTTGGGGCTGGAGGATCCACTGCTATGTATGTTGTCCTGTCCTGTCCTTCCCACACATGAGTGCTCCATTGCTTCACTGCCTCAGAACCCCTCTGAAGCCTGTGGAGGATTCCCTCTTCCCCTTTTCCTAATGGATCTCCCTAGTGCTCAACCCCAGTAGTTATGCTGGGCCCTGGGCTGAGGATTTACCTCATGGATTGTAATACTGCAAGTGCCTGTGCTGGTACATGGACCACTTTGTCATTTACATCTGCTGCCTTTCATCTCCAATTACACACAACCAAATGGGAGACAGTTTACATTTCTGGCAATATGGAAAGGCAATGTTTTGTTTCAAGCCCATCAATTAATTTCTTGCAGAAAAACCTTTTATCCGTTTGGACAGAATGGGGTCTGTGGTGGAGACAAGGGTAGGAGACCAAGTCAAAATCCCTGTGAGATTTACAGGCTATCCTCCACCAGAAGCAAAATGGTAAGAGTCAGAATGTGATGCCTTTAAAACAGATTGTGGTATTATATGTCAAGCTGACTCTCTAAAGTATTTAAGTTACCATGTATTTTCTTTAGGTATAAAAATGGAAAAGCCATCAGCACAAATCATACCATTAAACTTGGTTACACGTTAACAATTACTGAGGCAAGTGAAAAGGATGCTGGGAATTACACCATTGTACTTACAAACCCCATTAACAAGGAGCAACAGAGACACACATTTAACCTGGCTGTGAATGGTAAGTGAGATATAAACAGTGCCTTTTCCTCTTTGGTTGTATATGTGTGTGTATACAGTACTAACCCTTCCTTGACAGAAAGAGCTGGTAGGAGTCCTGTCTCTTAGAGCCCTGTGCCCCCCTTGATCTGTGTATTATCCAGATTTAAATTTGGCAAAAAAAAAAAATAAGGAGGTGATTCAAAACCACCAAGTCAGGGGAATGCAGGAAAGAAGTCCCATCTCAAACCTTGCCCGGACATTGCTTCAACCATCCACTGAATCTGTCTCCAGCTGGATCCTCATGCTGTATTTTACAACTCAGGAGGCTTCAGGTTTTCCTTGTTGTTGGATAAAAGGATTTTTGTTTTTTATTTTCTGTGTATTATTTCTTTGTCTCTGTGTCTTGCTCTTTTCCTGTCCTCTGTGCTCTCTCCTGCTGCTTTTGAATCACGAGTCTTCCCCGCCATCGTCATCTGCCTTGTCCATCCTTCCTGCCACTGTCAGCTCTGTTTTGGCCTTCCCTTCCTCCCCCCCCCCACTATCCCCCACCATTCCCCTCTCCCCGGCACCCCTCCTCCACACTGCTCCTCAGGAAACATACTTGTCTAGATGCTTCCAAAATAGTAGGTCTTCAAAAGAGCAGCTCTGCTAAGTACAGTGCGGTTTAGGTGGGGGCACAGTGGGAAATGGAAGCCAGTCACCTAATGCTGGAAGTAATATAAATTCCTTGGCTGGGGACGGTGATGGAAGGAAAGGGCTGTCTGAAGGGTAATTTGTAAGGGGTAGCTGTAAGTAAGCAACGGAAGGATTGCTGAACGTTTGGCTTGTATTGAAGCTACTCTGTGAAGTCGGCGCACTTCTTCCATGATTCTTTTGCTCCCTGCTGAGGTCAGTGGGAGTTGTGGACACTCAGCACCATGCGGGAGGCTCTCAGAATCACACAGGCTCAGACCCTGGAAGGCGTATGGGAGTCACGGTGAGAGAGAAACCCCCGTGAAAGAGACTTTATACATTTCAGAACAAACTGTGTTCTTGTTAGCAAGAGACAATGGCACAAGGCAAAGAATGTCGCTCCTTTATGATGGTCTGTGCATGTAACATGCAGGTTTTTCCTACAGTTCCACCTCAGATTGGGGAGAATGCTTTGTTGGCTCCTGTTGATTCCTACAAGTATGCAACTACTCAAGTCCTAACCTGCACAGTCTATGCCATTCCGGCCCCAGTCAATATCCAGTGGTACTGGCAGTTAGAGGAACAGTGTACATTCCGCCCTAAGTAAGTACAACATGATTTGCCAGTTAATCTGCACCACTTCATTTCTGTAACTAATCAGAGATTTTTTTAAAGTGCTGTAGGCTCTTTACAAACATATAAAAATGCACAAAATCAAACACTAAGCAGCCAACCCCCTGGGTAGCACTTTGATAGTGCAAAAGGGTTATAAATCCAATTTAACTTGGAGATTCCTCAATGTAAGGGGACTCCCTGGGTAGTATCGAGACAGTTTAGTGGCTTTATACCACCCCTCTTGCAGCCCTGCACAGGTGGTGTGATCAAGGGAAAGGGGGAATGGCTGGAGCCATTTCAGTGCTTCGATTATCTCCCCCTCTCCCACTGCACTGAAACAGCCCCTCTGGGCCATTGGCAGCTGGGCATTGGTTAGAGAGCAGCCTTAGAGTTGCTAATTTCTGCTAGGGTCATCTCTGGGATTGGCGAGCCACAGACGTGGTATAAAGCCACCTTTCCTTGCACTGACGCAGCTCAGCTAGACTGGAGAATGAGGGGCATTTTGTACCCTGATTTTTGTCAGGTGTAAATGACTAAATGAGGTGTCAGCCACAGAACCACGCTCAGTAACTGTTGCTGCTGGACAATGTTTGCAGACAAAGTTCCCATTTTGCTTCCATTTAAGTCAAGCTCTTACTTATTACAGCAAATAGGCCCAAACTGCCCTCAGGTTGTCAAACATAGTCAAAATGAGCTAGATGTAGGTAGCCTTACATGGAGACTGCCAGACTTGGGATCTGGTGGGCTGTTGCACGGAGTGAATTCCCCAGGCCAGGGCTAACCACGGATGAAACTCTACCACTGTTGTTTCTTGTGTTTGATGCTTTTTTGGCTGGCATCTTGCCTTGTTGGATTCCAAACACGTCTGTGGGCCCCGTCAGTCAAACCTTGTTGGGCAGCAGCAAGTACAAAAACACAACACCACACACGGGAAATTTGCTGTTTATGAGACTTGCAGTTCTTTGTGGGTTTTTTTTTTACACCCATCAGCTGCTGAATACGATGCTGCTTGTTATCTATGTAAAAGCGTATCTCAAAGGAACTGCACTGATTGATGGTAGCCAATGATAGAGAGAGCTCCTGACCAAGATACATGCAGCTTCCCTTATCTGGGCCTAGCACAAGGCCAGACTTCCTTTAAAAAAAAAAAAAAAAAAAAAAAAAAGGCATTCTGCTTTCCTGTTTATAAAATGACTTCCACTAGCTTCTTTTGGTGCCTGGTCACTTCCTACACAAAAGCCACTGTCCTAAAGAAATTCTTTTAAGGAGTCCAGTGATTTCTATGTCTCTCTGTCTTCTTTTGAATGAAATTAACTTGAATTGTCAATTTATGACTGGAGGTTTGTTCCCAAAATAGCTTCTTCCCTCCAAGTATCCTTATTGGGATGGCTTGCGCAGATTAATTAGGCTATTTACCTCTAGGCCTGGGAATTCTTAGTTTTATAAAGGACAAAGGTCTTGGAAGGTTGTATGTACAATTACATAGAAAAGTTTTCAGGAACATTTCCCAGTTTTATAACATGGCCATTGTTCCATCTTTGATATTTTTTCTAAACTGAACAAAAATGGTCTCTTGAAGGTTGAGATTTTCCTTACCTAAAATGTATCTCTCTGTCTATTTCTCAGTCAAGTTGGTTTGGGAATCAATCCTTATGCATGTAAGAAATGGAAAGACATCACGGACAGAAAGGGCGGAAATCGGATTGAAAGAATTAAAAATCAGTTTGTTGCTATTGCTGGGAAAATGAAGGTGAGCTAATGTTCGTTTGTCTTAGTTAGGAATGACCAGTTTTTGAGAGTTCTGTTCAGCATTTCATGTATTTGTGAACATTATATCAACTGTGTTTAACTGTGATAGAGAAAGGCCTGGAGATTAATGAGCAGAAAAAATGTGGGAACCTATTGCTAATTTTAGTATAACACAGTTTAAAAATACATATATAGAAATCTACATATAGATGGCTGTTAAAAGGAGGGAGGGAGAAAAAAATTTCTTCTTAATCTCTGAGGATAGGACAAGAAGCAATGGACTTAAATTGCAGCAAGGGAGGTTTAGGTTGGACATTAGGAAAAACTTTAATATCACATCAACCTCCAGGATGACCTGGGTACCAGAAACACCATTGATTTGTATTGTGCAGGAATTTACAGTTGTGTGGATAGCTACATGGCAATGCACCCAGCTCTTTTATGGTTTGACTCATTTAAGCCCTTTGGCACTAATGTGGTATGAAATTGCTTGGTTTGTTCTCTTGTAGACTGTAAGCACCCTTGTGATTCAAGCAGCAAATGTGTCAGCTTTGTACAGATGTGTGGCTACCAACAAAGCTGGAGTGGGTGAGAGGGTTATCTCCTTTCATGTTACCAGTAAGTATAGCTTGTTGATTGCATAGCAGCGTTAAATTAATCTCATTCCCTCAGCTTCAACACATCATTTGTCTGATTCAAACCCTCATGATGACCCATCTCTGTTATGCCTATTAAATATGGTCCTTATTCAGCATTGAAACAAATTTCTAACTTTAAGCATGACAAGGTGGGTGAGGTAATATCTTTTGTTGGCTCAACTTCTGTTGGTGAGAGAGAGACAAGCTTTTGCGCTTACACAGAGCTCAAAAGCGTGTCTCTTTCACCAACAGAAGTTGATCCCATAAAATATATTACCTCACACAACTCATCTCTCTAATATACTGGGACCAACATGGCTACAACAACACTGCAAATAACTGTAAGTATATGAGCAGTTCCATTAAAGTCAATGGAGTTACAGTAGTGTGAACACTGGTATAAAGTGAGATCTAAATCAGGATCTTTGGTTGCAACATTGGTTAGGCATTTACAGCTATAAAGACCTATAAACAAGAGAAAAATTAAATAGTGTTATTAAATGAACAGAATCCATACAATCAGTTGCACACATACAAAATGAAAAATGACTGCCTAGGAAGGTGTACTGCGGAAAGGGATCTGGGGGTCATAGTGGATCACAAGCTAAATATGAGTCAACAGTGTAACAGTATTGCAAAAAAAGCGAACATCATTCTGGGATGTATTAGCAGGAGTATTGTAAGCAAGACACGAGAAGTAATTCTTCTGCTCTACTCCACGCTGATTAGGCCTCAACTGGAGTATTGTGTCCAGTTCTGGGCATCACATTTCAGGAAAAATGTGGACAAATTGGAGAAAGTCCAGAGAAGAGCAACAAAAATGATTAAAGGTCTAGAAAACGTGACCTATGAGGGAAGATTGAAAAAAACTGGGTTTTTTTAGTCTGGAGAAGAGAAGACTGAGGAGACATGATAACAGTTTTCAAGTACATAAAAGGTTGTTAAAAGGAGGAGGGAGAAAAATTGTTCTTCTTAGCCTTTGAGGATAGGACAAGAAGCAATGGGTTTAAATTGCAGCAAGGGCGGTTTAGGTTGGACATTAGGAAAAACTTCCTAACTGTCAGGGTGGTTAAGCACTGGAATAAATTGCCTAGGGAGGTTGTGGAATCTCCATCATTGGGGATTTTTAAGAGCAGGTTGAACAAACACCTGTCAGGAATGGTCTAGATAATGCTTAGTCCTGCCTTGAGTGCAGGGGATTGGACTAGATGACCTCTCGAGGTCCCTTCCAGGTCTATGATTCTATAAAAACTAAGACCCAGATTTTCAAAACTGGGTGACTTCAGTGAGAGCTTCTAGCTTCTCAGGACCCTGGAAAATCAGATCACATATTTATGTGCCTAAATATGGATTTAGGAACCTAGCTTTAGGCATTCATTTTTGAAAATCTTGGTCTAAATGATATTTTTAATCCAGTCACAAAAACTGACAGTTAATGCTGAGGATAGTGCAAGGTTGCATAGGACTATTCTATTAATTACATAGATCTTCCTTGGACTTTGCTTGTGTGTGATGTTGTTGTTGTTGTTGTTAATGTGAATGATGGGCCTGATTCTCCTGTGCCTTGTGAAGTCTTTAATGCCTGGGCAAAGTGAGTGTAAAACAAGGCGCAAAACACTGGAGAGTCAAACCCAATAAGTCTGTGAATGCTGATTTTCAAAATGGCTTTTTCTAATCAATATAAAAGGAAAGAACTTTATTAATATAACAAATGCACTATTTAATGAGCTATTTTTAATTTGCAGGGGGTCTTGAAATTAACCTTCAACCTAGAAACCAACCCACTGAAAAGGATAACATGTCCTTGCAGTGCACTGCGGACAAATTCACCTTTGAAAACCTTACCTGGTATAAACTGAGTCCTCGCACCTCACAGAGGCCCCTTGGGGGGTTGCCAATGCCTGTGTGCAGGAACCCGGATGATCTTCTGAAGCTGAATGCCACAGTTTCCAATAGCAATGGTGAAAATGTTACCTTAGAGCTCATTCTCCGTAACATTTCTCTTCGAGATCGAGGGGATTACGTTTGCATAGCCCAGGACAAAAAGACTAAAACGCAACACTGTCTCGTCAAGCACCTCACTGTTCAAGGTATGAACCCACTTACATATACCAAAGTAGATGGTTATATGCACAGACTGTGTATAGCCGGAAACAAAGATACTGCAGTCGCAGGAATCCTCAAGTTCTGTAGGACCTAGCGCGTTACCAATTTAAAGGTGTGCTCACTTGTAGAAGGGATTTAAGCAGTTGCTAATAATGAGACTGCCTTTAACGTGTCAAGTGCATGAGGTCAAGTCTAGGCAGAATGTATCTGCTGTGCTGATGAACTGGCCAGTCACACTTAGTATTCCATTATTATGGAACAGAAATGGAAGGGTTAATAGGCCTGGTGTGTAAAAGCAGGGAATTGTGCTGTGCAAGCAAATGAAGTCTCTTTATTGATGGGCACAAACAGTGGCACAAATTGATAGCTCCACATCCATGATTTCTTTATACTTGTGACTTAACGTTTGACTGAACCTTTGGGTTTGAAACTGTGGTCATGCTTTAAAATTGTTATAAAAGCAGGGCAGCATTTCAGCACAAACAATGCCGGTGACTGGCTTTGGATGCAAACATAAGTGATCTTGCATAGAGGTCTTGCAATCCTGGCATGGCAACTTAGGCCCTGATTCAGGAAAGTACTTTAGCACATGTTTATGGGCAGTCCTGAATACAAATGCTTTCCTGAATCAGAGCCTCAAGCACTATCAATATCACCTTTCTTGTAGTGGGGTTGGAGATGGAGACATGAGGGGAGGCAATTCCTGGCCAGTTCCCTCTTCTCCATCAGCCTGGGGGGTCTCTAAATCATAAAACCAGACTCATGTAAAAGACAAAGGACTTCTCCTTATAATGTTTTCTTAGCTATTGTCCTTGTCTTGTGTATCATGGAAGATTAAATATGATCTCTCCAGGAACACCATGATTGGTGCTATTGCAGTAAGGCCATGGGACTACATTAGTGACTCAAACTTGTAAAGTGGCAGCGAGTGCTAAGGCATCACAAAAATGATTATACTTGGAAACTCTCAATAACTTTATTTTCATGCAAACAGAGCCTGTGGCCCCCACATTGATAGAGAGCCTGGAGAATCAAACAGCAAACATTGGTGAAACCATAGAAGTATCATGCCCAGCAAATGGAATTCCTCCTCCACACATCACATGGTTTAAAAACAATGAAACCCTTGTTGAAGACTCAGGTGGGGAACTGCTCCTTCAGTATGACTTATTTCACTTGTCATGTGTTTTACGCAGGGCTCCCTATTGATTTCACTGCAGAGTTCAAGTGCGGAGTGGGGGCAGAATGTGGCCCTGTGTATTTTATACACTGTGAGGGTTGTGTATGCAAAAGTATAGCTAAAATAATTGCAACCATTGAATTCTTAACAACAACCAGAGCCAACGCAAATAGCAGAATTAAGAACAATTCCTTTTTTCAGGTATTGTTGTGAAAGATGGGAACAAAACTCTAACCATACGCAGGATAAGGAAAGAAGATGGAGGTCTCTACACCTGCCTTGCCTGCAATGTCCTCGGATGCAAAAAAGCAGTAACTTTTTTTGCAGTAGAAGGTCAGTACAGATTTGCTTCTCTTATTTATTTGTGCTTGAAATGATAACTGCTAAAAAGGAAGCCTATGCATCATGTCTTTGTCACAGTTTAGAAAATGTACTAGCAGTGCCTTTGCTGAAAGTTTCCTTATGCCAAAGTGGATCAGATTCATTTATTGATAAGGCTCCTAATCAAGCTCGAAATGGGTGAGGTCACACCAAGCTGGCAACCCAGTGATTTTGGTTTTTGAGGCTGATACCTTGGTCTCCAGAATCACAGCTTTCATTATGAAATCACAGCTGGCCATTATGGTGGTAGAAAAAAACCTGAAAACGTAGAGTGAGTGCAAATCAAGGCGATAATACCTGCATCTGAGTCTGCAGAGAGCCTAGCACACCTCAGTGGGTATTAATGAGGATACTTAACAATGCTGACAGTTAAATTATTTCACTGCTGTCAAGGCATCATGGGCCATATAATGGAAAAACCCAGTGTGCTGTTGTGTGGGAGAACCTATGTGACGCCAGGGCTGAAATGTACAGGAACATACTTTGAGAAATGGGGGTGGGACAGAAAGGAATTCCTCTGATGCTTGTTATCAAATATCCCAGTTTAAGAAGTTAAAGAAATGTTAGAAATGTTGTTTCATAATACAGGGGATCATTCTCGCAACATCTTATTTCCTACATAGCGTAATCACTTTTTTCTTTGCATGAGAAAAAGTTATTCATTTCTGGGTGCTCAACATTCATCTAGATTTTGTGTTTTCAAAAATAGCAATTTCCTTTAAAATATAAGATTTCACCTTTTATTTCTTAATTGCAAAGGGCCAAATTCTTCCCTCAATTATGCACATTCAGCCTCACCAAAACAAGGTGTGTAACTAAGGGCAAAATTTGGCCATAAGAGTCTGACTAATCCTTGCTGCCATTTCATTGTGCACTAATTTGTAGGAATCAGAAAGCTTCTGAGAAAACAATGGATCAAATCCTGTGCTGACCTATCTCCTGCAAAATTTCTTTCCTCATTGTCTTGAGTGGGGTTTTACAGTGTGTAATTCGTATGGAACTTGGCCCAATATTCCAACCTATAAGAAATAAGCATTGCCTTAGTTGGCTTGCTACATGGGACACTTTTAAAATGAACCTTCGGAACAAGGAACTCTATGCAGTCCTTTAACTGATGACCTAAACCAATAAGCTTTCAGCTATCAATGAGATATTCATTTGTTTCTCCCCAGGCGCCGAAGAGAAAATGAACCTGGAGCTCATTATCCTGGTTGGGACTGCAGTGATTGCCATGTTCTTCTGGTTGCTTCTTGTAATCATTCTCCGGACCGTTAAACGGGTAACGAAACCATTCTTCTACTGTCCCACCAGCATTGGTCTTGCATGACAAATGAAAACTGACTACGGCTCTTTTGTGTTGTTTCTTTCCATTGTTCTTAAACCAACAGGCACATTTTTCCTCTCAATACCATAACATTCCTGCCTGGAATTGAGGGCGCAGAAATTTGGTTTTAATTGACCAGGCATTTGGAGGAAAAAATGCTTGAACTGCTTTTGATTATTAAAAGTGCAAGGATCCGTGTTCACATTCATAATGATGTAGTTGGAGGAAACTACAGACTTGAATTTCTGTGAAATTTTAAAACCCTGAGGAGGGAGAAGTTGGTACATGTGACTGCCTCATTCCAGCCAACACGTACCATTTATGTGACTAGAACTGATTTGTTTTCCAGGCCAGTGGAGGGGAACTAAAGACTGGCTACTTGTCAATCATCATGGATCCTGATGAAGTTCCTATGGATGAGCAGTGTGAACGTCTCCCCTATGATGCCAGCAAGTGGGAGTTTCCTAGAGACCGGCTAAAGCTAGGTGTGCTTTCACTATTTTGGATGGGGGTGAGGAAAGAATACACTGCCCAGGGAGCCTGTGGAGGAATTCTGACTGGCACACACAGAATTGCCCCTGGAACTACATCACACTCTGATAGGATGCAGTGGGTGTTCCCTCTGTGATGGCTCAGTCCTTTGGGCCAGTGCAGGAGATGGCTGGATCATGGCCTCTCCGAACCCCACCCTGCAGGAAAAGCTAGCTTAGTCTAGTATCAGAGGGGTAGCCGTGTTAGTCTGAATCTGTAAAAAGCAACAGAGGGTCCTGTGGCACCTTTCTGTTAGTCTTAAAGGTGCCACAGGACCCTCTGTTGCTTTTAGCTTAGTCTAGTTATTGTGTTTCCTGACCCCACTTTCACACCTACATAGGCCCACCCCCAGTGTGTGCCAAACCATCATTCCCAACATGGGGGTTGATTTAGTTAACGATTGGCCTACCTTTTGTCCATTGCTTTGACAATAAGTCTAAATCTATTAATCTTCTCATACTAGGTAAACCCCTTGGGCGTGGAGCATTTGGTCAAGTCATAGAAGCAGATGCATTTGGAATTGACAAAACTGCTACCTGCAAAACTGTTGCAGTAAAAATGCTGAAAGGTAAAAATGAAGACTAAAAGCCTCCTGAAAAGACATAATGTATTTGTATTGCCAGTCTTGTATCCAGAAGCCAACAAAGCATGTTGAACAATCAGAATTTCTGTACCGATGTCCTAGAAGGGTTTAGTTAACAATTGCTGTGAGAATAATGTAACTTATGTCTAACTATAAGGAGGTTGCTCATTAGAGCTTCTTTACCATCACTTTATAGATCTACCCAGATGCAGAGGTTAAATTTGCTCCTACAAGTAATCCTACACAAGTGTTGATTTCTGCAGTGTTTACCTACATACTGTACCTGCAATGTGAGCTTTCTGTCAAATCCTAAACAATGACTTAGACGTTATCTGGGGGGGAGAAACGATTCAGCTAGCTTACTCCTTGGCTGATTTTAAAGAGCTCTTCAATATTATTGTCAGTGATGTGGATGTTTTGACATTAAATACAAAGCTGAGATCCCAGAATCATTCCTCCTTCCCAGGACCCTGGAACAATTGAACAAGGTTCTCTGCACCCAGAGAATCCGTCCCAGGTTTCACACTGAGACCAGTGAATAATGGGAAAGGACTTTGGGAGTTTTGTCAGTGCTGCATGAGTAGTCACACAATACAGGTACTGCCAATAAAGCTCATTGTTTATGTGCCATGCTGTCAAGTCTCCTGGTAAAAGGACATAACATTAATGAGATGGGTCCCCAAGCAAAATAAGAGAAGACCCCAACCACCTACATAAGTTCCTGGCGTTCACCAAATCTGCCGAATGCTGCCTTCTGCCCCTCCCCCTCAGATATTGTCTGCTGCTGCCTCCTCTGCATGTTCAGAATGCTGGCAAATCATCCAGTGGCTGTTCTCATTGATTGGGTGAGAGGCTGTGCAGCCCCCAACCCCTGTCCCGCGTCTTCCCTTTCACAGGCCAATCTAGTGCCACAGGACAAGTGGTAGCCCCTGGCATTCAGACACTACATGGGGTAATGGTTATATCTCTGGTAACTGAAAACTCAACAGACTCTGCTTAAAATGTTGCATAGAGCAAAGAAGATTCCAGGCAGTAATACACTGATTGTCTCTCCAGTCTGACATTTTACCTTTTGGCAGCATTCGGGAACTGTTTCAAAATAAAGCAAAACCAACTCTGTAACTCTACAGCTCACCAGTGCCGGAGCATAGTTAGGAGGAATGTATGTTTTGTCCCTCACGTGAGAACCCTAGCCTAGGTTAACCTACAAAAACATTTACTCAATATGCCAAAATACTAATCGATGTGGTTAGCAAAGGGAAAAACTTTTATTTCTGTTATGCTGATCAGTTATATAATTTTTATCTTTACAGAGGGTGCTACACATAGTGAACACCGGGCACTTATGTCAGAGCTCAAGATCCTCATTCATATTGGTCATCATCTAAATGTTGTCAATTTACTTGGTGCCTGCACAAAACCAGGAGGTGAGTGACCGACTGAGAGTCCTTTTTGCTCTCCGGGTATAGAATGTCTTTTCAGTGATTGGAGGCACTACCACAAATTCAGTAAGACCATTTCCGATTAGTGGAGAATTGAGTTTCATCATTAGCAAGACTTTGATTTTCCATTATAGTTATTCCAGGGCTGTTTATTAGAAGAGTCAGCATGATCCAGTGGTTAGAATAGGGGATGGGAAGGCTGGAGTCCAATCTGTCAGCTCTGTCACTGATGTGCTGTGTCACCTTGAGGAAGTCACTTTATGTTTTGTACCTCGGTTCAGCTCCCCCATCTGTAAAATGGGGTAATAATGCTTGCACACTGTTAGCAAAGCCTTTTCAATCCTTGGATAAAAAGCATGCTAAGTGCAGGTACAATATTATTTTTCTTTATGGTGTGGACCATTCATATTCCTCACATGAAAACCTCAAATGCTATGTAGTTGTCCAAAGGAGGAATAAACATAGTTTATAATTAGAAATAGGCCTGAAACAGAATTCTGAAAGAAAACACATTTATGGGGTTTGGAATCAGAATCTATATCCAAATGCCACAGGTAGCCTCTATATCTCTAATGGGCTAAAGCAAAACCACAAATTGTAACACGCTCCTCAGCTCTGGGATAAAAGGTGATTATGAGTCTGGATCCAAATTTGGATGATTAAATCTATTTTACTTGTAATTGCAACAGTTTTGGTCTAACAAGCCCAGCATCGTTCACTAGTTTGGAAGATATTTAGAACAAGTAACTTTGTAATAACTTGCCAAAGAAGTTGATTCAGTTGTGAGTTTAATATTAACACAGTTAGGCTAAGAATTTCCTTCATGCAGTTCCATAACTATAGTACAGTACTGGGAAGAAGAAGAATTCCATAAATCTTTCTAAAGGTAGATATAGGGGCCAATTATTAATTGTAGATGCCATAATAAGAAGCCCACATCCAATACTTGGACTTTAGATCAGCATTTCCAAATGTCAAATGTCCAAGTAACCCAATTTGAGCATCGGCATACAACATTTGGGCAGCTCATCAGTGTACCTGTGTTTGCAAATTGGGTTTTAAGGACCAAATATTTTAAAACATGGAGACTCAGCTCCATGAACAAAGATGCATGAACAGTTATGTGTACAGGAAAGTAGTTTACTGCATTTGGGTGGTTAATTGCATGACTGTGCATGCAAATATCAGTGTAGATGGATATTTGCATGCACAGTGAGCCAATTTGTATGTGTTGTCATAGCCACTTGCACATATAAATATAAGCACACAATTTCATACACATTTTCACATGCAAAATAAGGTCTCTGCTTTTTGAAAAAATTGGCCTGAAATGTTATTTCCCCCCATCCAACATGTTAATCAGAAAAGGTGTCACTTTCCTTCTTTGAACAGATTTTTACTGTCTATATTGTGGATATTCTCTTTAAAATTATTTGGAAAGATAGTAGAATGATTTTTAAAAGAATACATATTTTTAGCTGGGCTGAATTGGGAAATAGATAGCCTTTCTAATTCATTGGTTCATGTTTTATGCAGGCCCGCTTATGGTGATTGTGGAATACTGCAAGTTTGGAAACTTGTCAACTTACTTAAGGAGCAAGAGAAGTGAATTTGTTCCATACAAGGTACAGTCTGCTGTCATCTTCAAAATTAAAAATAGAGGCTAAGGAGTGACGAAACTTTATTTTTAAAACTCTTTTTACGTTGAGTGGAAAGCTTTGGGATGTATCTTTGTATTAATATTAATTATGATAATCTTTAACACTTACCATAGAAATTCAATATAGAAAAGGCATTACAGGTCATTTAGTCAATCCCCATGCCCATACAATATAGTTAGTTTCTTATTCTAAGCTTTAAATGTGCGAAGAGGAGGCATCTACCATTTCTCTTGGCAGACTATTCTACAGTCTGCTGTATCTGACAGGGAGTTTTTCCTGATAATCAGCCCAATTTTTTTCCTTAATTTCAGCTCTTTACTCTTAGTCAAACCAGCTTGTACCACCTTAAATCACTTCACTCCCTGCTTGTGTTTATACCCTTCTGTAGACTGCTATCATGTCCGCCTTGTTCATTGTTTAGCCAGGCTATACATATACAGCGCTTTTAATCTTCCCTCGTAAATCAATTTCTCCAGCCAATTTATGTCACGCTTTTCATCTTCAAAGCTTTCTCCAAAGATCTAACTAATCTTCACTGCGCCTTTTTGAGATCCCTGCTTTAAGGATGGGGAAATGGAGCAAGAGAAATGAAGACTAGTGTCTAAATTTGGGCCCTTATGTCAGTGGCCTGATTTTTTAGAAGAAGTTGGTGGTGTTCATCACCTTTGAGGATCAGGCCACTTCTGGGGGACATGAATATATATGGCTTTAGGTTCTCCTTATAGAACATTTTGGGCTAGGAGACTTACCCAGAGCCCCAGAGGGAGCCAATGTTAAGGGGATTAGAAACTCTGGAGAGGTGCTTTGCAGTTTGCAGGTCATATGTCTTTCTTCCTACATCAGAGCCTCCTTTAACAGTATCACTTTCCTGAGGGTTTTTTCCCCTGTATCTTTGGGGGCTGGGAAAGGGAGTTTTACCATTTTATATTGGTGAGTGCAATCTACTGCTCACTGTCTTGGGAGTTAGGAGGGTTAAATGGTATCAACAGGAATCTGTTGTGTCTGGTTACGGTGCAGGGAGAGAGGAGGATGAAGAAAGGGGATGGGTTTTAAGAGGGCGTTGAACATTGCAGATAAGCAATGAGGATTATAGGGATGGGAATCCGTGAGGATGGGAAAGCAGTGTTGTTTGGCAAGAATATAGCAAAAGTGAAGCAGGTGAGACTGGATTTGTGTTGGCAGGAGTCTGTGTGGGTTTAGTACATGGGTTCCCAAACTTGGTTTGCAGCTTGTTCAGGATAAGCCCCTGGCGGGCTGCGAGATGCTTTGTTTACCTGAGCATCCACAGGAACGGCCGCTCGCAACTCCCAGTGGCCACGGTTTGCTGTTCCCGGACAATGGGAGCTGCGGGAAGCGGCGCAGGTTTAGGACTATCTCCAGAGGTATTTGGTGGCATAAGAGCAGAAGCAGGTAAATGAGATGCATGGGTTTGTGGGGGTAGGATGGACTTTGCAGTGGGAGAAGAGGCAAAGGAATGAATGGTAGAGTGGAGAGATTCGATAACAGAGTGAAGGGGAAGTCACCTGACAACATGCTAGTTCAACAAGCTACAGAATGTAGTAGCACCTGCTTATAAGTGCTGCTGACCGACATATGAAGGTGGAGGGCTGCTGTACCCCCGTGAAGAGGGCCACGAGCAGGTTAAGTGCCTCCTCCCTGTCTTCTGTCTCCCTCTGATGCTCAGTGACATCCCTGACTTATACACTGTGAAATATCACTTCTGCCTTAGAAAACCTCTGATTATTTTTCCTTTCTAGACTAAAAATGCCAGATTTAGGCAGGGAAAAGAAAACTACGTCAGTGAAATCTCAGCGGACTTGAAGCGACGCTTAGACAGCATCACAAGCAGCCAGAGCTCGACGAGCTCGGGTTTTGTGGAGGAGAGATCCCTTAGTGACGTAGAGGAAGAAGAAGGTAGGATTTGTGCTTACTTAGTTTTGGGTCATTTGTCATTGGAAAGGGCTGCCTTAGGGCTCAGCACTTTGATCAGGCTCATCTGGAGGGAGGCCACAGTTCAACTATATGTAGGCTTGGAAGAATTCAACTTTATTTGATGTATAATTTCAAGGGAATCAGGGTTTCTTTTAAAACTTTTTTTCTATTTTTATTTAAGTTTTTTGCACAATCTTGAGGGGATTCAGACAATTTAATCACAGACGTTGAGATTCAAAAAGTTGTCAAAACATACAAAGTAAATATCCTTAAATCAAACCCTAATAAGTACTCAGGCAGCATTTGCTTATTTTGCCTAGCTGTAAATTTCTATTGTTATTGATGGAAATATGGTTTTGTTGGGTTTTGTGTGTATGGTAAAATCAATGTTTACTGATAAAGTTCTAATCATTCCAAGCCTAACTATACAGGAGCGGGATTGGAGTTATAATCAGATCATTCTACCCAGTATAGCAGTTCTTACTCAGCAAATATCCTAATGATGTCAGGACTGAGCAAGGACTGGGCTATTAGTAGGTATGGTTATGGACCTTATCCCTCCAGTTTGGTAGAGGGTGAGATTAAATGTCTCTCTTCTTCAAGTAACAATTTTTCTATGATCCACAAATATTTTTACCTTTGCGCTTTCTTCCTTAATGGGGGTGGAATCAGAACTCCCTTCAGTTCCACTCTTAGCTCATCCACTGGGATTGCTGCAAGACTTTCCTTTCGCTAGGAACTACATGAGCTGATTTTTGCAGCTCTCCCAGCTCTTGTAAACTCTGGAAACAAATAATCAAGCCTGAGATTTGAACTTGGGTCTTGTGTACAATAATGTAAAGTGCTGACTACAGGTCACGGGATTTGACAATGTATTTTAAATAAGAAACATCTGTAGGTGAAATCTGAAATAGAGAACATGTTTGACTGTTGTCATCTTGCTTCTTGCAGCAGCTTCTGAAGACCTTTGCAAGAACCCTCTGAGCATGGAGGACCTTATCTGTTATAGCTTCCAGGTGGCCAGAGGGATGGAGTTCTTGGCTTCACGCAAAGTAAGAATCTTTTCAGGGAAATGGCATTTTTCATATGATTAACCATTGTAGAAAATGATGCTACAGGTTTATAGAAGGAAGTGATGTATTTGTCATTGGACTGGCAACCATGCACAGCATTTTCTGATTGCTCCAAAAAACATCGGAGCCATTAATATGACAGTTAAACAGCCCATCTGAGGTGCTTTAATAGATATGAATGTTAGCAATTTGTATAAGGTTCATTGTTCACTGATTCATAATAGAATGATAAAGTGACTGGAGGGAATGACATTTAAGGAAAGGTTAAAAGGAACTAGGGGCCAATTCCTGATAAGTGGAGCCAAGTTGGAATAAAAAGGCTTTGCTCTGAAGAAATTGCTCTGTAGGGCAGTGGGAAGGATGGAAGTCCCTGTTCATAATATTGCACAGAGACATTGTAGACTAAGAGATGCATGTGTGTGGACACTGTGAATCTCTCCTTGATGGATCTCCACTTGACCTGCTAACACAAAAGAAACACCACATTTCCCCTGCATTTCAGCCCTGAGCAGATGCCCCATCAGGATTTGATCCTAACTTTGTATAACTGGGCCAAACAATAGCCAATCATTCGCAAATATTCTGAAGGCTGTAAACATCAGAAAGAAAGAGGAATTATTAATGGTGGCACAGGGCATAAAAACAAGGAATACTAGGTAATATGCAAAGGCAAAATTAGGTGGTATCTGTTAGAATGTAGAATAGTCTCCCAAGGAAAGATTGGAGAGTCCCTTTGTTTTAGTCATTTAAAAGTTCATTTGTCAAGGCCTGAAAAATATACTGCAAAGAACAATCCTGCATGTGTAACCTACTGGTCAGGCAGGGTGTGTGTCATGTCCCCCTCTGTGCCTGATCTACAGAGCATAAGCATTGGTTACAGACCCCAGCTCCAGAGCCTGTAGGTCAAGCTTTAGAGAGGCCCGTGAGTTTAGCTCTGGAAGTCCCTGGTGCATTGACCAAGATGGCGGCTGTCATACAGGCAGAGATAGAGAGATGTACTTTTCCATCTTTAATTGTTTCCAGCAGAGAATAATCTCAACATTGGGCGTGTCGTATGACATTTTTCACCTAAGAATATTAAAAAGGGTGAAGTGTCATAGATGTGATGGGGAACGTGGATTTGAATATAACCAAAGTAAATCTGTGGTAATCAGATCCTAATGTGTTTTGCATCAGCTTCCTGGGATAATTAATTGGCTAACCTCAAGGGCCATGGCTGCTTATTGGTTAAACAGATGTGTGTTTGGACTTGGCTCAGAAAGACTTTTGTTTTTAGGTCAGCTACAATTATAAAAAAAGCCACTTAAAAATCAGTAACTCTGTTGACATTGGGATTTATTTTACTTAATAGGATTTAAGAAATATCTAGCCTCTGAGAGTGAGGTCAGCACAGATGTGAAATAGATCAACTCTCTGAGCAGAGTTGCAACAACAGCCAACCTATAAACTTGTTTTCTTCCCTTTGCAGTGCATCCATAGGGACCTGGCTGCTCGTAATATCCTCTTATCACAGAATAACGTGGTCAAAATCTGTGATTTTGGCTTGGCGCGAGACATCTACAAAGACCCAGATTATGTCAGGAAAGGAGATGTAAGTTTTGGAGAATAAATGTTGGAGACCTTTAATTCGAAGTGATACTAACTATTCTATTTTAACACATTGTTTTTGGAAACAGTGTTCTCTTTTTCCTGTCTCGTACTAAAGTTTAATTATTTTTTTTAAAATGCTTTCAGGCCAGATTACCCCTAAAATGGATGGCACCAGAAACCATTTTTGATAGAGTGTATACCATTCAGAGTGACGTATGGTCCTTTGGCATTCTGCTATGGGAGATATTTTCATTAGGTAAGTCACTTTTATTTGCTACTGAACCTCTAATTTTAACACTAGAGTGGGTGGAAAAAACAGTGAAATATTTTTGCAAGTTTTGACTTTGCATGTGCAATTACCCAGTTTGCATGCAAACATCTCTAATTGCCTGACTTGTTCATATAATAGCAGTTATTTCATGTACAAATCATTTGGTGGAAAATTAGGCCCAGAATTTTAAATGTCTTCTTAAAAAAAGGTCCATCCATTATCATTTTAGGAGCTTCGCCATATCCTGGTGTAAAAATTGATGAGGAGTTTTGTAGAAGACTGAAAGAAGGAACAAGGATGAGAGCACCAGACTATACAACACCAGAAATGTAGGAACTTACAAATATGCTTTATGGTAATAGCAATCATCTGAATAGGTAGAATGTGCCCTCCTCATTGCCCTGATATTGTCATGGTTTTATCCCACTAGATATCAGACAATGCTGGACTGCTGGCATGGAGAACCTAAGCAAAGACCTTCTTTTTCTGAATTAGTGGAGCACCTGGGAAACTTACTGCAAGCCAATGTTCGTCAGGTACGTGAAATATAGATATTGTACCAATACTACAGTATTCTGAAGTGGTGCCTTGTTGGGCCATCGTTATACCACATCACCTTGGGGAGTTGAAGCAGATGGCTGAATAGGATGGCCTAGGGTCACAGAGATTTGTGATAATAACAAAACCTGGTCCATGTCTACCCCTCTCTCCCCGCAAGGCTTCCCACTGCCCCCTCAGATTGTCCATATGGATAGCTTTGGGGTTAGTCCAGGGAGCCAGCTGTATTCTGTACGCCACTTCATTGGTTCAAGTCCCACTTCCCACTGACTACTTGGTGCTCGGTAACTACACACATGCCAGTGGTAAGGGCTTTAGTTTAGAATTCAGGGGACCTGGGTTCAGTTTCCTCCTCTGCCGCAGACTTCCTGTGGGACTGTAGGCAAGTCAGTTAGTTTCTCTGTGACTCAGTTCCCCATTTGTAAAATGAGGGTAGTAGCACTTCCCTGTCTCTCAGGGGTGTTGGGAGGAGAAATATATTAATGTCTGTGAGGTGTTCAGATACTGTGATAATGGGACCATATAAGTAACTAATATAGATAGACAGACACTCATTTCTGTGGATTTCCTGCCACTTGCCATGTGTATGTATATATATTTATATTTATTTATTTATAAATTCAACTGAGAAATCATGAAAGAAAATATTATAATCATCTAGGCCAATTTACTTTAAAGACTATAATTGTTCTTAACACACTGCATGTAATTGGTTTATCTTTTGTACTTTAATGAATTATACATTCCTCGTCAAAATAATTTGCCACCATACATCAGTGAGGAGACTTCAGCAACTAGAAATTCAGCAACTAGAAATTATCTGTGACTATATTATTATCTGACGGGTACACTCTCTATAAAATTCATTTAAAAAATCCTTATTGTTACTTATATTATTTTAGACTATTTAACACTGAAATATTTTTATTTTTTTTTATTGCTGCTTATTGTTCACGTTCTGCATTTCACGCAGATTGGATAATTCACGTAGATTGGTCAGTTTCCCTTTCAGTTTATGGTCGGTTTCCCTTTCCAGTTCTCATGCCCTAGAACAGTGGTTCTCAACCAGGGGTCCAAGGCCCCCTGGGGGGCTGCGGGCAGGTTTCAGGGGATCTGTCAAGCATGGCCAGCGTTAGACTTGGTAGGGCCTGGGCAGAAAGCCAAAGCACAATAGGAAACTTACATTTGTAACTGAAATAAAAAATTAAAAAGTAAACATTTGATTGCTTACTCAGATATGTAAAACCATTAGAATGTCTACGTTTTGGTCTAAAACTCTTCGACACTGTCCCTTTAAGTTCAAATCTTTTGATATATGCTCCAGCAAATATAATATACGGTTTATAGTCAAATAAAGCAGCCCACCATAGCTTTAATTTTTATTGTAAGAATTCTTATTTACAATGTGTATATATATTTTACTCTGGCTTTTTTCACTGTATTCTACAGGATGGTAAAGATTACATTGTCCTTCCTCTAACGGTATCACTGAACATGGATGAGGATTCTGGACTCTCTTTGCCAACCTCACCTGTTTCCTGTATGGCGGAAGAGGAAGTCTGCGATCCTAAATTCCATTATGACAACACAGCAGGAATTAGGTATTTTATATGGTGAACATCCCATTGCAGCCTCTAGGCAGTTGTGTTCAGGTTGGGGGAGGAAAAATGAGAGGAAGAGATTTCAGCTGCCGTGGTCCATATTTAACTTTGTCCATAGGGATAAGAATAAAGCCATAGAGTCTCTATAGGAGGATCTGCAAAACACTAGTTTCTTAGCTTCTGAAACACTGGTGATAACCTACATTTCGCCCCGCCACCCTCTAAAGAGTTCAGTCTCTCGTCCAAAAGTGCTGTGATAGTATTGTTAGCTAGCCTTTAGAAAATGTCTAGTCATTCTTTTCTGTTCTGTTCATATTCTTGTAACACACCCTGGTGTTGTAAGGGTGATAGACCTAGTGATGGATTCATTAACAAAAGCCTATCTTTACACAGCCCACTGATATTTCTACCCAGAAAATGAGCACATTGTTAGGTGGGTCAGGAACTGATGGCTAATGGAAGTTTAGTTAAATGGCACTGTTACTGATCATACTTATTTATTATGTATTACTTGTGTTCGGTATTACCTAGGGGCCTGAGTCACGGATCAGGGTTCTGTTGTGGTAGGCACTGTAAAAACATGTACCAAAGAGATGATTCCTGTTGCAGAGAACGTGCAATCTTATCCAACAGTGTACAGTGGAGGCTTACTTAAGACCAAACTCCAGAACCTGCACCTATCTTGTGCATATGGGCTTAGGGAAGGGCTTATCTGCCTAGGTTGTGGGGGAGGAAGGAATTTTCTCACCTAGGCGTCTCTGTGGTTCCTACTGCAGCCTCAAGAGTTCAGGATGCCAGGGATGGTTGCCAGTGTCTTTCTGCTGCCTCAGAAGAAGCAGGGGTGACTTGGAGGGATTTGTTGCAAGAGACAAGAGCAGAGATAGAATCCACAGAAGAATTTCATATAAGAACCAGAAAGCCCCCTTCAGACCACTGTGCCCCAGTTTAATTACGGCAGGGGTACTAATTCTGCATCCACCAAAGTCAATGACAAAGCTCCCATTGACTTTGTTGGTGCAGGATCAAGGCCCTCCGCTGCTTTTGTATAGGGCTATGGAAAATAATAGATAGGAACAGTGCACTTAAGACTTCAGTTGAAATCAAGGTAATATAACTAAACACCTAAATACCATGTTTTAATAGTGTGATGGTCGATAATATTTACATTTAAAAGATGAAAACATTTGATATCATTGAAAGTGTTGCTCTCATTTTCCATTTGTAACACTTCCTATATGGCTTTCCCAACCCACTCTTCCTGTTATTCTGTAACGACTAAAAGGAAAAAAAACAAGATTGGTAATATATGTTTTAAAGGGGCCTTCCACATTTTTTTAATCTGTTCTGATGAAACAGCAGTGGGAACGTTGCCCTAAAAGGCGCAGAGTGGGGAATATGAAACGTGACTTTGGATAGATTTATTTTTATGTTCCTGGAGCTGGAAGCATTTTGCAGCCAACAAAGCAGACTAGGATCTCGCTGTAGCATACCGAGATGCCTTTTGTCCCATTGACTCCCCCTCTTCCAGAAGTAAAGTTGGTGTGGTCCCTTCTTAGGTCCCAGCCAGTATTGCTGCAGCTCTTGTATCAGTTTTAGGTAGACTAGCTTGGAAACAAAGTACATTTCATTACACTTATGTAGAGGGAACTCTGAGGTTGCTGCTGATTTGGGCATCTGTGGCCTTCGTGATAGGCCACTGCTGTTTTCTTTGTCACTGGGTTACTGAACTCCTCCTGCTTGGAGGGCCTCTTTTGGAGAAGAGCCTTCAAGAAAGGGGAGGTGTGGAACATGTAGTCCCAACTTCCACATTTTAACAGGAGACAGATTGTCTACTGTTGGTGACTCAGGTCCAGCTAAGAGTCTCAGAAGTACAGTCCAAAGAAAGAGACATACGATTGTGATCCAAGCGTCTCTGTTTTTTAGATTTTTACGTGGAGTTTGCAGGAAATGAAACTTGAAGCATCACTCAGAAAAGGAGATGGTTGTTTTTTAAAAGGTGTTTCTTCGGATTTGGTTGGAAATCAAGGTTTTAGCAGCTGCAGGTCAGAAACATGCCACTTTCTAGCCAGTTTCCCCTTTTCAGTTGAGGTTTGCATAATATGTTTTGACAAATGATTAACTTTGTTGTTGAAAGATAAAGGAGGCTGATATCATCTGTATCTTTTTCACCCAAACGGCTCATGCAAACAAATCCATTCTTCTCTTTACAGTCCGTACCGACAAGGTAGTAAACGAAAAAGCCGACCTGTGAGTGTGAAGACATTTGAAGATGTGCCCGTAGTACCTGCTGTAAAAGTTGTTCAAGATGTAAGTCTGTCTTTTGTTACATCCCTTCATATTCCTTGTGCTGCTTTTCCATTTTTGTGTGTGTTTCCATCTGATCAATTTCTGGCCTCTCTTTGGCTCTTTAAAGGACAATCAGACAGACAGTGGGATGGTTCTTGCATCTGAAGAGCTGAAGACACTGGAAGACAGAGCTCAGCAAGTGACAGTTCCCTTTAGGTAAGGGTCAGCCAGCAAATATGATGGAATAAGACTATCCAGTTTACAGAAGATGCTTAGGCTATGAGTTGTCTCAAAAGATAGACTCTTCTCTGAATGGCCTTAGTGTGCCATATAAAGTACAGAAAATAACCCACTGCACGCCTGGCTGTCTGTGTCTTGTAAGAAGTCCAAGATCTCCTAGGACTTTGTAGCTGTCACTGTGCTGTACACCACAGCTATTCAGAACTTCAAGCAGCAGCACAGAGAGAACTTGTGCTATTTTGCTCCACCTTTACCCTACCAACTAGAGACTACTGGGCCAACGGCACACATTTGAGTGGTTCTGATTCTAGCCTGTTCATAACAGTTTTAAGGGTTTCTATATTTAAAAGCAGACCCATGATTTTCAATGGTCTGGAAGGACATAAGGGGTAAATTTCAGTGCATTGTACGGGATTTTAGTTGTGAGACTCACCTAAAAGTCAATGGGATTCACACAGCTAAAGCCTCACCTACTCCTGTGAAAACCCCTCTGAGGATCTTATTTTTCTAGGACAACTTCATTCCAAGCAAAGGTTCACTGTAATTACAATTGCAACCTCACACTGCAATGCACTGCCACATTTCCAAGCTTTCATTCCACTTCACTCTCAGAGGCCACAGTTTAAATCCCACAGTCAGCCTGTACTGCCATAAGAATGCTCCCTGTACAGGATGCATATTACATGTCATAGGGGAGTGAATGGGGAAAACCATCTCTCCTATAATCCGGTGCACGTTTAAAAAAGCTTTTATATCGGTGTACAAGCCACCCTTGCTAACTACAACTCTTCTCCGCTTCATGCTGGTATTGGAGAAGATTCGTTTGTACAAGTTGATGTGCCTAATGATGGCCTCCACAGGAAACTCTCAGAAGTTATTTCAATGTTGTTTGTATTTCTCTTGCAGTGTGCTGGTGCCCAGTAAAAGTAATGAATCTGTGATGTCCGAAGCCTCAAACCAGACGAGTGGCTACCAGTCAGGATATCATTCTGATGACATGGACACCACAGTTTACTCTAGTGAAGAGACAGAACTATTGAGCATCAGAGAAGACACACCTCAAACGTGCTGCACACAGACACTTACCTACGACACTGGTGTTTCACTCAGCTCACCTACTGTTTAGAACAAAACAAACAACAGGAAATCATATGGAACATTCCTGTATTTCTTAGACTGTGTATTCAGGGCTTATGCACAGGACACCTGCTTTCACAAGAAGGACACGAGTATCACGTAGCAAACTGAGCAGTGATGAGCCACAAGACGCTTGTTCAAGAGACATCGGTAGCTCATGATAAGTTGCAGAGCGCTGTCACTGCCGTGAACATATGTATTTTGTTTCTCTGATTACAAAGTCGGGTTGTGGACTTTGAGACCCAAATGAAACACATGTTGACACTAAGTGTCTATCCAATAGTGTAAAGACTACAGGCAATGGAATAGCATTCAGCAGGGCACTTTGTGCTTCCAATTATATGAAATAAAGCTCCAGCCATGCCTTTTGTTTCTTCTTGCGGCTGGGCTCCAGGAAGGAAATATCACTGTGCTGGTTTCTTGTTTCAGAATTATTTTTTACTCAGATCTCTACAAAAAAAAAAAAGAACCTTCCGATTTAAGCTCTGTGTCTAATTGAAGGTTTCTGACTAAATATAGACTGAATTAAACAAAGACAAGGTTGACGGTTGCTCTCCTTGACAGAAAACACATTTGCCTTGGTAAGACCTGATGAGCTGTATTTCTCTGGGTAAGAGTTTCCCAGTGAAGTCAGTGAATTTGGGCCTGATCCAACAGCTGCCTGAAGTATATGCAAATAATTCTCATGGACTTTAATAGACAATGGATCAGGCCCTGTAACAGGTAGAAATGAAAGTAGAAGTTACCTAAGGCTCATAGGGATCTATAACTTATTTTTAAACTCTTTTTCCTCCCATAGAAGGCCAAATTCTGTGCCGGTATAAACTGACACAGCTCCAATGTACAGCAGTAGAGAATTTGACCCATAAACTCTTGAGTATCAATGACTTATTACATGGCAGCTCAAATTTCTATGAGTGGTGATTTTTCAACTTAATTAATTGCTGGACAGGCTTTTAACTGTGTTCTTGTAGCCCAGAGCTGTAATGATAACACTGTATATGTACAAGATTTTTAAAATGTACAGCTATTTCTACTGAGTTTCTTTATGTATTATTTTTTTTAAGGTTTTTTTTTGTACTGTAACATCAAATGCTGGGAACCACGAGTATAAGGCAAATATGGCACATATAATATTTATAGCCTGTTTATGTAGAAATAAATATAATATATTAAAATATAAATATATATTTTATATATATATATATATATAATGAACATTGTACTATTCACATTTTGTATCAGTGTTTTGTAGCGTTACAAGGGTCACAAAGTTTTTTATAATAGCTGAAGTATCTCACTTTATTAAAAGGGATTGGAAAACATAAAAGACAAGGGGACTTTGAGTAGATCTCTTTTCTCCTCTTTGTGTTCTTATACTCTGCCCCTCACACTAGCTGAATGCTGCTAGTTAGTTGTACTACAGAAGAGCAAATCATGGGGAAACAAAAACAGTAAGCTTACTTGTGTTTTACTACTATCTATGTGTCTAGCCATTTATCTATACACCACTATTGTGTATAAATGTTTGAGTGCATACTGCTGATAGTAAAACATTGGCTTTGCTAATAACTGGAAAAACAATAGCGTTCAATGGAATTGTCAGTGGAACAGAATATTAGCACCTACTGAGTCTTCTGGAAAAGTCTTTCCTTGCAGTTGGGAGGAGAAATAGAAGTCTAAGCAGACAAATTAATGTCCCATATAAATGCTGTTTGTAATAAACTGCATTTTCATGCAAGGTGTTTGAAGCTTTCCACAAATTTTTCCCACAAATGGAGTCAGTAGCGTTCTCATATTTTCTTTTACCTGTGTGCTCACAAAATGGAAGAATCAGGCACAGAGGAAGGACTGGGTGTGGAGGGGGCTGTGCCCACTCAAACCAAAGCAGAGCTTGTATGGTTGGTCTAATTTTACTCTGAGGAGCGGATATGTTCTTTAATGTAGCCCATCTTCTCTCATGGTGTCGTATTCCTGTTTTTTCCATGTTGCTTTCTACATCTAAAATGTTGTCCCCATCTCTATGCTCTTCCTTCAAATCCAGCCTCAGAATCTCTTTTTTTAAATCTTCCTTTACACTGCTGACCACCTCTTCTGATCTATCTGCTCCTCTCTTGCTCATTAGCAAGATTCAAAGATTGGGCATTTATAGGGATATCAGGAATATCCAGAGTTTTAATGGTTAATGCTGAAAAAAGTGTAGGGGATAGAAAGCCTCATGATTCAGGTTTTAAGACGGTCACTAATTATTAGAGTTTAGGAGGAATCCTTCAGGGGAGCAAATTAACCCACTTCTACCTACCGTGGGTTCTTATACCTTCCTCCAAAGCATTTGGTGCTAGCCACTGCCGGATCCTGGAGTTGATGGATCACAGGTCTGATCCAGAATGGCAATTCTTATGTTCCATTTTAAATCTGTTTAAAAATATAAAACTATAGTAGTCCTTCACATAAAAGACACATTATTTGCTTTAACACTAGTCTCTCAGATCCATGCTCCTTCGTCTGTTCTCTTCATATTCTATCACTGCTTAATTTAAGACCAGATCCTGATACCTTTATGCACGCAGAGTAGAACCTTACACCACAAGAAATCTTACTAAATTCAGTGGGACTGCTTGTGGTTTAAGGTATTATTCAGTCTGACTAAGGCTACTGCAATCTGGCTCTTAGATTGCAAACTCTTTGGGGCAAGGATCATCATCCTTTTAACCTCAGGAAAGCACCATACATATTTCTGGAGTTCTATAAATGTTTGTTAATAGTAACAACACCAGAGAGAATAATAGATAAATACAGTTAAATAATCCCTCCCTGAGACCATGCCAATGGAGCCAAAGTGGTTTGTCACTTAAATCCTATGATGGCTTTCCTTTGAATTATATTGTTGTAATGTATATTTGTTATTTTTTATATAATGTAGGATTTCACTTTTATATAATGTAGGATTTATATAATGTAGCATTTTGTTTTGACTATGTTCCGTGTCATATTCTGACATAAATACATCTATCAACATCACATTCCTGAATGACAATTTTTACAAAGTCAAGTGAAGACAGCAAGTGTTGTGTTATAGACCCAGTCGTACAACATTGTATCTGACAGGTGCCTAGAATGTACGTTGCTGATCTGTGCATGGAGGAGTCCCTGCAGAAACTAACCTCCTAATGCCCGAGGGGAAATGAGGGTGTACCGTCACTGCAGCACCATCTCCTCCAGATTTAAAATGCTCCAGGCAGGGGGAGTTTTGAAATCTGGATCTAAATGTTGCAATCTCGGTACATCCCCAGTTCTGGTCTAATATATATGAACCACAGTGGTGTGTCAGTGGTACTCTTCCAGCATCTGAGGTGCACATATAACAAACAGAGCATTAAATGTATCAATACCCTTTAAAAATGGCAACTTAAATATTTTGGCTAAGGACTTTTTACCAGTATTGACACAGCTCCTTGTCAGCCAATCAGATTGTTCCATGGGTCCAAATCATTTTATGAATGACTAAGAAATGCAGGCCCAAGCCCCCACCTGCTTTAGGACAGGAAATCAGTCTCTTTCTTTATTTTTACCTATATTCAGTTTCAGGAACAAGAAAAGCTGTTATAAATATGTTCACATATTTGGCACTTAGTTCCATAATTCTTTTCTGCAGCCATAGCAATTACATCCTTAAAGACACCTGGGCTTTTTATTATATTCTGAATGCAGCATACTTGGCTAGACACAGTCAGGTCACATCTGCCTTGGTAGATGGTTTACATTCTAAAATACATGTTTTTAAGAGACTCACATCTCAAACAGCCCTGGCAAAGCTATGATACCCCAGAGACACAACCCCCTCCCTATGCTCATCTGCCCCCAAAGGAGAAATGGGATGAAGCCTCAAAATTGGATCTGCAATTGGAACTCCTGAAGTTCAGGAGTGTTTCCATTATGGAGTTTTGATTCAGCCCCATTGTAAATACAGGGCCAGTTGCAAGGTTTGGGTTTTGAATGATCCCAGAAGTCAGGAATCTTCAAACACAGGGTCTGGGTCCAGCTCTCGTCAAAAGATTTCTAATTTTGGGGGCAATCTCTATGAAACACAGTCCATGCATAAGTTTTACCTATGAACTTTTCCTCCCTCAAAAGCAACTACACTTCATGAAGTGATGGGCAGCTCAGTTGGCCAACTAAGGCTGACTATCATGCACTCCGCTCCATTCTTCTGAAGTGTACAGCACCATGTTGAGGCCTACAGGGATTGGGTACTGGAAAGAGCAGGCCACTGATTTAGCTAATACCATATAGTCATTTATTCCTTTGTCCACCCCTCTCCCCCCAAAAAAGGCAAGAAGCTGTACTGCAAGTGATAGTTTTTCCCTGGGTGCTGCTGCTCCAGTGGGAGGCTATTGTCAGGGGCTTAAATCCGGCTTAATCCTGCTGTAAGACCAGTCTAACAATGGGAAAACTTTGCAGCTTCGTGTCTCAGAATTAATTAATGAATTTGTCAGAATGCTTCATAACAGCTAAACTGGTAATAAAGCAGGATAAACACATTCTTAGTTTTCTTTCTAGGCTCCCAAACAGTCACACCCACAAGTGATCGATCACACTTCAGCGACCTACCTGTCACCTATGCAACTGCACACTATGGCACAAAGAAAAGCCTGTGCAAAACTGCTCTGTTCCCGAAGAAAAACCCAGGCAGCTGAGGAATAGCAATGCGACCTGAAAGCAAGGGCCGTGCCCACCACCACAGGGCTGGGGGCGTAAAGGGCAGGCATGGCCTGTTGTCTCCTTAGTTTGGGCTTACATCCCAATGGCTTTGTGCAGTACACGTCTGTGCTGTCAGACTTCCCACAATTCCTCCTGTCTGAGTGCAACTGTATGCTACCACACAGAAGTCTCTCTACTGGTCTGCCTCCTATACTTCAGAAACATAACATTTCCACGGCATTTGGGACCTTCTTCGGGTGCATGGGGTTTTGTCCCTGGAGGTATCATCCTACAGTACTTACTCAGACAAAGCTCCCAGTGGTGTAAAAGCTACAATGGGTGCTTTGGCTGAGCAAAACCAGCAAATGTAGGTCCAAAAGCTTTAGCATTCAGATGGATTAAGCTGTGGAAGGCTCCCTATGGAGGTGGCAGAAGTCCATTACTTGGGTCATTTAAAACAAGTATGGAGAAAACATTAGAAATGTACTCTTGGGACAATCCTGCAATGGCAGGGGGATGGATTGGCAAACCTAACAGGTCATTTCCAGCTCTTAGATCAGTGGTTCTATGTATAGTGTGTTCAGAAAATGTGGATAACCTGAAGAGAAGATGATGGACTTTGGCATTTTCCTATGACTGAAACCCAAACCATGATTCATTTG